AAACTTAAATTAGAAAACGTGAAACATACAATAAAAATAGATAAAATATGTAAATATTGTGCACGTGTGGGCAAAATATGCAAAAATATGCTTTTATGTGTGAAATATGCAAAAATATGCTCTTATGTATGAAATATGAAAAGTATGCTGTAACATATAGGGCTCAAAATACATAATTTCTTCTGAAACAAGTTTGTATTTAGTTTATTTCTTTATTAGTCAAATAAAAAAAAATTGTCCTATATATATTTTGGTTGCCCTAATTATTACATTTAAATAATAGCAGTATAAAATTTGAACACAATTCTCTTATTAGTTTAAAGTTATTTAATTTTTTATTTGTCTTAATTCTTGTACAAAATCGCAGTTTGTAATATTTATTTACAAATTTGATAAGGAAGTTACATTAAGAATTAAATCAAATTTCCTGAAGTATACTAATAAAAAAAAATAATAATAAATATTCATGCAAAACTTTATTTGAATCCACTTACTGGTTTAAAAGTTACTGATCAAAAACTATTTTTAGCTAATATTGTACAGCTAATACATCCTTAAACATATTGAAAATCGGTAATTTAAAACTCTATAATATTCTGTCTAAAGAAACTTTCACTTGAATAGCTAACTATTGTCGAAAATCATAACATGACATCTTATTTTTTAATTAATTTCAAGTGAAGCTAGCTTTGGAAGCTAGCTTCCAAAATTCAAGAAAAATTGTACGAAATGTCAAATGTTCGATGCATACATCATGCATTACCTACATATCACCATATCACGTATCTTTTTTTTACGCACTTATAAATTGTCAACACACGTGCCGTGATAAAAATTATCGACATGCTACATCCGTCATTTATTACAACCTTGTATAGTCTTTTGAATACATGCACGTAATAAAACCTTCATGTTCACTACTATTGCAGACATGTGATTTATTGAGTAAAATTTGCGCGCGTGTTTCTTTTCGCGCAAAACGGACGAAGTGCATCGATTGCGAATAATCTATTGTGAGCACGTTTACTTGCTTAACTCGACTTTATTTTTGTACGCGTTACAATATGCAATCCACAGTATGTTATACTGGCAGAGAGAGAGAGAGAGAGAGAGAGAGAGAGAAAATATATATCATATCTGACCTCTCAATGCATTAATAGCGCTAAGGGATTGTGCAAATCGCGTGTCGAAACGACTAACCAATTTAACATTAGGGAGTTTTTACAATACCGTGTATCCAGATACGGTGAACGCTAAGGTTAGGTTATCTTCTTCTTAACGACTAATTAAGAAAAGAATAACGTGACTTTAGCATTCACCGTATCTGGATTCACGTTATTGTAAAAACTCTCTACTATTGCTACTGGACAACTTATACCTTTGAAAATGAAAGACTATTTATTGCTACTTTGCAATTCGTATAAATATTGACATAAACATTACCGCATATTCTTGATACAGACAGCTGATTATTAAAAATAGAAATTATACACAGGTCTGCATGGTTTTTCTGTTTGGAAAAGAATAGAATTTTCCTATAGTTTTTGATGCGCTGAATTCGAATACGTAAGTGAAAATGTTCCATTACGTCAAGTTTTTAAGAAAAATAAGATTGAAACACCTGAAAATGCGTTTTTGACTATTTTTAAAAATTCGTAGCTGATGAACTCGATGAGACATTTAAAAAAATTCAAATTAGTGTTAAACGTACTTTAATATAAAAATATTTTAATATAAAATAAATGTAATTAATATAAAAATTGAACCTTTTACAGTCGGCATTGTGTGTATCTCTGGTGCGCTTGTTCGTAGGAGTAGATGTAGTCGCACAGTACTATGTGTCAACCTACATCGATTGCTCCATTCAGTCCCTGCATACAAAATTGGCATGCAGTTACATAAAATTGTATACTTAGTAAAAAAAATTACAATACATGCAACTTACATATTTTTTTCGTACAATAGAATTACAAAGTCAGTTTTTTGGAAAATCGTTGCAAAAATTGTTTAAATAAATGAAAAAAAATTTTGCACTGGAAATGTAATCGTTTTACTTGACACTGTACGACTACACCTACGGACCTACTCCTAAGAACAAAGCGTGCCAGAGATTCGATGCTGGCTATAAAAAATTCAATATTTTTATATTAAAGTACAATGTTCAATCATTAACTTGAATTCTTTTCGAAATCTCTAGTACATCGCGGGGTTCGTCAGCTACGAATTTTTAAAATTTCAAGAACTCGTTTTTTAGACGTTTCAACCTCATTTTTCTCAAAAGCCTGATGTGATAGAACAATTTCATTTATGGAGTTGGATTTCGTGCATCAAAAACTATGAAAAACTACTCTTTTTTTTCTAACAGCACAAAAAATCAAATTTTGTAGATCTGTTATTCATTTCAGATATACATGTAAGAATTACAAAAAAGAGTGAATCGTATAGTCGAAACAATTTATTTGCGTTCCCAAGATTAATGAATTGTGAGTTAAAGTGCAAAAATAGCAGTATAATCTATGGTATTCTTTATATCAAAAATATAATTTCTTTTTGTGCGACTTGTAGCAAGTTATATTTACAAGAAGATATATTTATATACATATTGTGATTTATGAATTAGTAAAAAAATTAACTTTTCCTTGCTTGTTTTTATTTTGCTATTAAATGCATTATCTTTATATAAATTCACTTTTATAATATACTCGTATAAAAATATATTTTGAATAATTATTACTAAAATAGATTAAGGACTATGAATTATGAGACATCATAGTAGAAATTATTTGTGTGCTTATAATAACATTAAATTTTGAATTTATAAAAATTTGAAAATGACAATGAATATATTATCAGAAATATCAAAATTAATTAGTTAATATTACGTTTTCTTACAAGTGGCTTTCATAAGAGATATCTTTCCAGATCGATAAACGAGCGTGACTTATCATGATAAAAATGTACTGAAAAGCGTTGGTTAAAATACAAAAGAAACGTGTAAATTACACCTTCCGAGAATCCACTTTTATCTTTGTCGTCACATACAAAAAGACTTGTCTCGCTATTTAGTATAAAGGCACAAAGTGGGAAAAGAGACCAATGACATTATTCAGCGATCGATTTAATGATACCACCGATCTTTGTGAGGTCTAGTAATAGTAGATTGCAGACGGAGCAAGTCTTTTTATTAACGACGCTTTGTCGCCGCTTTACCGATCCCAACGATTTTCCTCTTGTCGCTTTTCCTAATGCGAATTTAATAATAGACTACCATACATATCGAATATTAATTCTTTTCTCGAATATTCAAATACGTATTATAACTGTGAAATATAACGTTGGAGAAATAAACACTTGAAAGCAAGACGCTTGAAAAATTGTACAATAATAAATAATATCAAAGTCATGTTTCCTACACGTTTATACGTCGCATGATTTTGCATTTATTGCAGTTTAAAATACAATTTTAAGTAATATGAAATAATCTATACTCGTTCATAAATTCGAAAATACTTGCAATTTTCTCACATCTCACGAAAAGTGAAAAAAATCTTATCTCAATGAAAAAAATCACAGAAAAATTTTTAAAAGAATATTTTAAAGAGAAGAGATGGATCTGTAAAGAAGGATGAATAAAATTATCGGATTTTGATCTAAACAATGGTTTAAAGTTTAGACTAAAAAAAGAAATTTTCTTATGCACATTTTCTTGTATTTTTTGATGTGCTGAATCGTTTGCAAACGTTCGAGCTAAACTGATGGGTGTAATCAAAGATCAGATTTTGACAAAATTGTGCTATTTTTAATGCGATTTTCAACATGCTTTCATTAGATTAAATGGTTTTTAATTTCAAGATTAAAGAGTTAAAAAAAAATTTTTGTTCTATGCACTTGATTTGCATAATTTTTTCAAAAATTTTTAAAGTTTTTTTAGACTTAACTTTTAGTGAGATTCGAGAAAATCATAAATTCGATTTATGAACAGTAGTGCACATTTGACTACCAATTTCCTATTGTTTTATATTTAGGCATAAATATATTAAATAATTCGATATACGAATCAAAATACTTTTTTATAATTTTGCAATCACATTTTTTATGAATAATTTTACAATAACATTTTTCATAAATTCAAATAAAGCCCAAAAGAACTAATACAGGAAGAACGTGTGCAAAAGTATATTAATATAACATTAAAAAAAAAATATTCTACCGATAAGCGGGAGATTCCTCTTAGCATTTCCTCTAAGCAAAAAATCTTACATTAATCAGGTGCATGTATTTATGATACCTATTCATCTATGAAAATGAGGATACATGAGCTATGATCAAAAATAAATTCCTCTATAGAAAATTCTATTATAATAACTCGAATAGCCTTTTGAAATAAGAGGATATACAAAATACTAGCGGCACGCTTATTTGTTAGAAGTTCGTCATTTATGTACTACGGTAGTACACGTCAGTACATGCAAGATATTCTTTTAGTATTGAGAGGATCGCAATCCTAAATCCAGTACTTTATGATTATACGAAATTCCTTTACTTTGTATCCTCTTGAGGTCATATATAAATGGAAAATTCTCTGACATTAACACGGAACCGCTAAATGGCAGAATATTTTTTAGGGTGAAATTAGATACAATATACAATAGAGTTTCGACAATACAATAAAGTTTCGATTAAATTTTCTTGATCTGGGTCTTTTTCAGTATAAAACTGATGAATTAACAAAAATTATTGATCAAAATTATTTTCATATCAGATTATTTTTTTATGTTATCATACAAATCACGCTTTTTAAATTGAACTAATCGCCGTCGCTTATTTAAATATGCTTCACCTAAAACGATCTTTAAAAACGTCCAAGCCGCCCACTGATGGCGTTCAATGAGATACTTCTCGCGTGAGTTATCCCGTTCATTAAATCTCGCGTTGTCGCGGAAGAGTGGGTTCGGAAGGGTGGTTTCCAGACGAGCGGTCTCTTAGACACTGTGCAAGGCATGCCCACAGAGGAAAATACAGGACTGTCGGATAAGAGAGAACGAAAGGAGGCCAATTCGCTCTTGCGAATATCGTCCATTGTTTCCCGACGACAATGACATAGAGATGCAGACAGCATCCGTTGCACTTTCAGATCTCAACACTAAAAAACAGTCTGGTTGCATTATTTGGAATTCTGGTTGAAAATGAATAAATCAGAATTTTCTAATTAAATCTATTATAAATTTAGTTTCTGCTATCTTATCTAATTGTAAGATAAGCATAATTTTGATTGATCAGAATCTTTTGGTTCGTGTATTTTTAACAAAAAATTTTTCTCAGTGAATTATTAAATTAAGCGGCGTTGGTGTCCAAAAATGAAGCTACTAACATTCGCACGCTCGATCTTTCGAAGGCCGATAGCGGATAGGCTTTGATCTAAATCAAATATATTCTTGTTATTTACAGAGTAAATTGCGAAAGAAGCAAAGATTGAACGCGAAGATGAAAGCACATTTCTCTCTGCACTCTGAGTTAAATTCGGCTGACCGCAAATAATGTTACTTTAGGTCAGGGATACTGCAACGCAGTATCCTTGCCAACTGTTTCCATTTGCCATCCTGTAAGTTAACGTATTTATTAACGGACGGGAGAGGGACACGGCAGCATACGAAAAATACGAGACAATAACGTGTGTTCCTAAAAAACTCGCGGCAGTAATTCGAAGCTGCGTAGGTGTAGCGAACAGAGAGGCGACGTTTTTCTTCTTTTCTTTCGTTCTCTTTGATGGAAGACAGTCGAGAAAATGCATGGCGAAATTACACAAATATATGTAGATATACGAGAGATGTGATAGAATCTTTTACCAATTTTTACACGTTGAATCAAACAGAATCCTTTTTCAACTTTTATATGTTGAATCAAATATGTAAGGAAAATATTTTCGTTAATGCGAAAATTTGTTTTTTATATCAAATATAATATTTTCATGCTACGAAGAAATTTATTGTCATTTTTTATTTCATTAGTAATCAACTGGGTCTTAATACAGATTTGTACGTCCTTGGTTGCATCTCTATATATAGATCGTGATTTCATCGATGCTCTAAATTCGAAAATCAGTCGTTCATTAAATAAGAAAAATAAATGATCCACTCTTAGAAGAAGACACGCAAAAAAAAGAAAAGAGAACTCGCAGAGTCGGCTGTGCTTTCAGCTGTCGGCCGTTTCAACGCTTTCTCTAAATCGGTTGCTATTGGAAAAAAGGTGACCGACCTCAAATACTGACAGACCA